TTGTTGCATTTTAAAACAGAAATATATCTGAAAAGCCGGAAGTCATGAAGATGACGATAAGTCTCCTGTATCCTTGGGTATTGAAGTATGTGAGATTCGCTGCAGTTGTATGTATGCAGATACATTGATCAGGATCTTTTGGATATTGTCTTTGAATCAAGCGCAGTATTTATATCATATATTTCTAGGTCAAGTTCCGTTGCAGCATTTCCCATCAATGTGTGTGTGACATTTGTACTGCAGAGCACTTAAAAGCCGTTCATTAACCAATTTTGTCCCCTGCCCAGACATATATGGTTCCCAATCAATACACAATGAACAGAATGTGATGGATTACTTGAGAATTGTATACAATCTAGGTCATGTTGACTTCCCAAATCCTGTCAATAATTTATCATGTTCTGTAAACTGCTAAACCTTACCAGGTGAAAATGATAGAATATTGTAATTCATTTTAAAAGCCAGACGTGCATGTCTGGATTTTTTTATTTTTGTCAATTTGACAAATGACTGTGCCTTTATATATAAGCTATTGTCATCAATACAAGCATTCTGGTGTACAATACAGTTTTAGTATTGCCTCTATGTCTATACATGACCTGAAGGTATCACCTAATTTAGACTGCCTTTTGTTTATTTGGCTTTGTATAGCCTATGTAACTTGTAGACCTAAGAAAGCAAGATGTCACATGATCTCTATTGTCTCGAGGCAGCGTTTCTAGGAACAGGATTAGAAATTAATTTTGGGTAACTTCCCACAGACTGAAGCTCAATCAAGGATAAAATCAGAGGCAGGGGTTGCAGACATGCTTATTTACTATGTCATTAGAATGTATACATAACCCATTTTCTCCAACACATTCTTTGTTTACGGAGCACTTTGTTTGGGGATAAATCCATTGAAATACAATCAGTAGTGTTTGATTTGTGCTTGCAACTTGTATTTGGAAAGGAAAAGCAAAAAAATGTTGTCCAATCTGTGACAGTTAAAAGGGTAGATTGATGTTATAGTAGCCAAGTTTTAGGTAAGTCATACATTACCACGGATATTGGGTTTATTTGAATTCCTTCTCTCCTGGCAGGCCATATGTTACCACAGGACACGAAGTTAATCTGGTTTATCAACCTTTCTCCCTTCCTTCCCCCCTCCCACCACCACCAAAAAATGGGAGAGTGAGGTTAGGCAACACTATGCATTATGATGGTTCTTTCCTCCTTGTTAACATACCAAAGCATATATGCATTGATTTAGATGTCAAATTTTTGATATGCTTTTAGTCTTCATTGAAGCTGAAAGTCTTGTCATATAGGCAGTTAAACATTTTTAGAAACACTGCACAAATAATTCTACAATTGTAACATAAAGTGGCTGTGTCAAATTTTAGCATATGATCACTTTTTGGCAAATCAGCACAATGACAAATTTGCTCATTATCACAGGACAATGACATAGCATTGGTTGATATTATGAAGATAGCTTTTAATTAGACATAGGCTTAAGCTTGTTTTGTGATAAATACGGTAAGTCTGTTGTGGGATAAATACGGTAAGCCTGTTGTGTGATAAATACGGTAAGCCTGTTGTGTGATAAATACGGTAAGCCTGTTGTGTGATAAATACTGTAAGCCTGTTGTGGGATAAATATGGTAAGCCTGTTGTGTGATAAATACGGTAAGCCTGTTGTGTGATAAATACGGTAAGCCTGTTGTGGGATAAATACGGTAAGCCTGTTGTGTGATAAATACGGTAAGCCTGTTGTGTGATAAATATGGTGAGTCTGTTGTGGGATAAATACGGTAAGTCTGTTGTGGGATAAATACGGTAAGCCTGTTGTGTGATAAATACGGTAAGCCTGTTGTGTGATAAATACTGTAAGCCTGTTGTGGGATAAATATGGTAAGCCTGTTGTGTGATAAATACGGTAAGCCTGTTGTGTGATAAATACGGTAAGCCTGTTGTGGGATAAATACGGTAAGCCTGTTGTGTGATAAATACGGTAAGCCTGTTGTGTGATAAATACGGTGAGCCTGTTGTGTGATAAATATGGTGAGTCTGTTGTGGGATAAATACGGTAAGTCTGTTGTGGGATAAATTCGGTAAGTCTGTTGTGGGATTCGGTAAGTCTGTTGTGGGATAAATAGGTAAGCCTGTTGTGTGATAAATACGGTATCATGGACAGTGTAACAATCTATGGTAATTTCTGACTCGAGTTTAGATTAGCATATAGAATGAACTTTATTTCAGTTCTAGTTTTGTTTTCCCATTCATATTCAAAATCAAAGGTCACTCTGTCATATGTAGATGTCTATCAATGCCTTTTAATGAACTGGGTTAATAGGTGAAGGAGTCCATCTGTACCAAACTGCTATTAACATTAGACTGGAAAGAATCCATGAGGGAAAATCCAGTGTATATATGATGTATAATATAATGACTTGACCACTGACAATGACTACACATACAATAGATGATATCAACCTGTGTTTTGCAATAAGCCTACTCATTCATTTCAGTTGTGCAGAAATAAGAAAAAGTGGTCTTTCCATTAAATCTGTAACAAGCTGTCATTTTCACTTTGATCTAAGGTTATGTTTATAGCCTTGCTGTAGGATATATATGATAACAATGAAAAAAAAGAAAATTACAGAAACTTTTCCTTGATTTTCAACAGCTAAAAATAAGATGTTAAAATGTCCTTCATTATTGCAGTTTGTAGACAATGGCTGCTGGATTAGGTCATACAAAGTGTTCGGTTTTTTTGTCCTTTGGCCTATAATAACAAATTAAATATTAGCACTGCCATAGTAACCTTGAAATGTATTGCAATATGTTGACCACAACATTTAATTGGGGGAGAGGCTGGGGGGTTGGGGGGGACTATTGAGTAATCTAACCTGGTAACTGCAACTGATATTATTTAGTTGACAAATGGATATAAAAAACTCAAAGGCTGTTAAAAAAATACCCTTGCACTACCAATTTGAATACATGCTTTATTTTGCAATGCGTGGTATTTATTCAAGTTAATATAGACATTTGAAACATATTGGTTAATACCTGTTACTTACAAACACTCAAGTGACACAGATGTAGGGTATTCTGGGAAGCGACAACGGAAGTAGGATATCACGCTTGTTTCTATTTGCTTGGAGAAGGAAACCGAAACTTCTTGAATGTTCTTTACTTCATGAAAAAAGAGCAAATAATAGGTTTTACTGCAATTTTTTTAGTTGTATTGACAAAAACCAATATAGCTAAGCTGTATCGTGCATGGCATAGTATTTTTTAAAAGTGCACAGAAATAAACCAGTAAACTGCACAACTTGTATATATTATCAACTGTTGATAAACCATTTTAAAATGATTTTAAAAAAATCTGTTTTAACTACATCTTGATGGTATCTTGTAAAACTTCTGCCATATATAACCAAATCCCCTGTTTTCTGTTTTAGGCTAATTACAACTTGCTTAATTACAAATTCATTTACAAAGTTTAGATAACTGTTTGTACTACTGACATAATATCTTTAAACCTGGCATTGCTGTTGTGTTGTTTTAAGAATGAATGTCTTTCCTGTGTCATTGTCATTTGACTTTGATGTTATCAACAAGTAGGGCAGAAAAAAACTTGTGTGACACTTAAACACGTGCCAGAGATATGCTAATGTTCTAATTATGACAAAGATAAGAAAACACGCATAGTTTTCCTGTCTACTGTTTATGTAAATCAACTGACAAATATGAATACCACATTTTTTTTAAAAATCAGTTGATATCATGGTCTTCAAGCGGAGCTTGGTAAATACATCAAATTAATAATAGAACCTATTCTAGCATGACTTGTATAAAAATAGCTGTATGTAACCGGGTCAGTCCATTTGTTACTTTGATATACATATAGATGTAAGCCATATATCTAAGATTACCTTACTTTAGCATCTGGCTGTGAAATTATCAGGTGTATATATATAGGACATGCTCTACCAAAATAGATCCATTATCCAGCAGACATTCTAAGGGCCTCTCAGCAGCTAACTGTTGTTAGGTTTAAACAATTCCAATGATTCACAGAAAACAGCAAAAATGAAATATTGAATGGACTGTATTGCTGCTGTTGTAAACATTTAGAGGTAAATAGAAAAACATGGAATAGCTCATGTGTGTTTTTATATCAAAATCAGCACAATACTTTTGTCATAAAACTAACCAGTCATACAGCAAATGGTCTTTGTGTGATGTTAGTAGGGGTTGCCTCCCTTGCACTAGCAAAGCAGGATCATAGCTTTTAAAAAAGATTCTTTTTATTAGATTTTTGTAAAGATATTTTTAACCTTTTTAAATGTATTGAAAGGAGACAAGTTATTTTGAATAGCAATGTGGTTAAAAAGGTCTGCAAGCTAAGTGATAATAAAAGAAAGATGTAAATGAATGCTGGGCTTTGAGAATGAGCTGTGTACATAAATATACATGGTGTAGATTCTAGAGAAGTTTATTGTGCAAGTTCTGATTATGTAATTGTGGAGTATATATAGGTTAAATTTGTTTCAGCTTAACGTGGATGTGTACAGGGTCCACCCACTGATGGTGTGTGGTTGTTTCACCCCAAGCGGCATCTCCGAGATTGTCGGCTGTCACAAGGTTTACCTCTTACATTGTTATGGTTGGGGGAAAATTTGTGTGAATCTTCCCGGCCACAATTGGTATAGCTCTACCCAGACATTGATGAAAGGTCAATAACCAGTCTAGGGACCAGACTAACTAAAGACGAAAAAAAATCCCACCATATATACATATATGGGCAGACTGTTACTGATAAACTGTCGATCTAAGTTCATATACAGATACATTTCTTCGTGTGAATATGAAGGCAGCATTTTCACTGATGTAAACTGACACAATACAAAATCTGAAGTCCACTTTCTACATATGTTGGAGTTTTAAAGAGATATTTGTTTGGAGTAACGAAGTTTATCACCTGGCCACGGACATTGGTTGCAGCCATGATGTATTCATTCTATAACACAACAGGATACAACTACTATCGGGACTCGTTTCATTTAACGGAGCGTGAAATTGCTATTTTTAAAAGCCTGAAAGGTTGGTTTCTTTCCAGATTGTTGATCAATAGTTGTACGGATACCAAATTTAATAAGAAAGTCGAAAGTTTTTTAAAACTGATAATAGATCATAATTTGAAAACTTTACTTTAAAAGATTGGCTTTGACACGCGGTAGATAAAAGGACATGTAGGAGAGAATCGCAAATATTGATTACTTTTTCAGTTCTCTTTTTGGTGGATAATTTTGTTGATTTTTTAAAAGTTTGATCATAGTTATCTAAAATAAAAATCAAAGTACTGTTAATGAAGATGTTTAATTAATTGGTTGTCACTCATTTTTATTGTAAATCTGTCGCAACACAAGTTTAACTTACTTTACAATGTGATGTCATATTTTATCTAACTTATTAAAATGGATTGGTTACGAAAAAATGTTGAGTAACTGGTGATGTTATCCTGATTTTAAACAACATGGATGCAACAGACTTGGTATACACATGTTTGTTCACCTTTATTTTTTAAAATAATAATATTTATTATTCAAATGTTTAATACTGGTTTTTAATATGAAGAATCATCAAACAGTTAAAAAGATATATGAAAATATACAAGATATCATCATTCCATTAAATATTTCATCAGTCTGTCACAAATAAACAGGTGATATATTGATGCACATATTTTTAAATGCTAAAATGTATTTATATGTTAATTTTCTTTTTTTGAACAGAACTTACAATTTCATGGTTAAGTAAAATTTGAGCACATATCTATTTTTGCTTGTGATAACGTTTTAATTTAAATAAAATCATAGTCACGTGTAGATATTTATTATTTTAAGTCCACAAATAATTTTTTTGGTTATGTCTGTATGAAGTAGCAGAAGTCCTTTGACTATACTTTGTGTTGAATTATGATAATAATATGGTGAAGGAAAGCCCTATAGAGAAGTATTTTTATCGGCTTTAGAGGGAATAGAATGAAACAAAATTTATAATGATGCTGATGGTAAGTGCACATAATAATATCTTTGATAGACTCCATATATGGACATATCTGCTTTGTTCGGACAGGATAGGATGGTCAGGTCCAAAATAAAATAATTGATAATTACAGAAAAGCGGGACCTGAATTAAGCACAGTTTTGTTGCTTTGGAGATTTATAGCTCTAAGACAGAAATAATCTGTCTTTATGTTACGGAAGCAATAAAGAATACAGGTTGGTTGAAAGGAGCTCCGAGTAAAGAACATGATAAAATACAGGCCAGACGTGAAACAGTCCAAAGGGGCTCAGACTTACAGAAATATAGAGGCATGCAGGTTAGGTGTGGAACAGTCCAAAGGGGTCCTGAGTTAGGAGGGATTCCCTGTGGAGGGAGAATGATATTGATGACAAGGGTGCAGTACGATATAGTCCTGAAATGCTCTGATTAAGGACAGCATGACACACGGGTACAGTGTCTGATCCAAAGGGACCCTTATCAAAGCTAAGGGATGGGTACAGATGATTGGCCTTAGAGTGCTATCTAATGAACGAGATATGACCTAGTACAGAAGTATATGGTCCTGATTAGGGGCTACCAAATAAAGGAGATTATGAAAGGTGACAAAAGTATATGGTCCTGGTTAGGGACTACCAGATAAGGGAGGTAATGACGGGGGGACTGAAGAATATGCTCCTGATAAAGGATACCAAATAAAGGAGATAATAAAAGGGGACATGGTCCTCATTAGTGGCTTAATTAATATGGGAGACAATAACAGGGGACAGATGTATATGGTTCTCGTAAGGAAGCTTCCCAATAAGGGAAATGATAACATGGGACAGATGTATATGGTCTTGATTAGGGGCATATAAACAAGGGAGATAAAGACAGGCGACTCAAGTATATGGTCCTGATTAGGGGCTTCCAAACAAGGGAGATAATGACAGGGGACTTAAATATGTGTCGTCCTAATAAGTGACTTCCAAACAAGGAAGGTAATGACAGGGGACAAATGTATCTGGTCTTTATTAGTGACTTCCAAACAAGGGAAATTATGACAGGGGACAAATGTATCTGATCTTTACTAGTGACTTCCAAACAAGGGAGATAATGACAGGGGATAGACGTATATTTTCCTGATTTGGGGTTACCAAAAAAGATAATGACCGAGGAAATCATTAACTCTATTATTTTTTATCATTTCCCTAATTTGGTTGTACAGAAGATATGAATGAACAAAATGATTGGACAAAATACAAGACGCAGTGTAGCCTGATTAGGTCAAATAAAGAATACATGTTACCAATGTAAGGGACTAAAGGCTCTAAAAGAATCACAGGACAGAGTATCGCAATATACAGTTGTGAAAATGAAAGTGTAGTACTAATCTATACATATTTTGAATGCATGTAAAAAATGAAAGCCAATTACTATGTAATGGTTTGTAGCAAGAAATGACACAATTGGCATTTCTATGAATTTTTTATCCTTTCAGGGTTTTCTCCAGGCCCGTACAATTGTAATGAGCCAGCAATTGACATGAGAACACATAATGGCCGTCGTACCAGCCCAACCAACTCAACAAGCTCTTCACATATAAAGGAGGAACACATCTCAGATTCGGAGGACAAGAACTCAATAGATGGGGACAGGCTCATCTCCAATGCTGTCGGTATGTATCTATGGAATATAACCATCCCCTCTCTGGTGTTCTCAAGAATTTGGTCTGAAGCATTCTTGGGGAAAGGCCTCAATTTTGTGTGAATGGTGGGTCTGGCAACCCCGGGAGCATGAGGGGCAGGGCCTAATAAGAAAAATCAATTTATTTCTTTAATTTCTTGTTATTTAGGAATTGCATGATATTTTCCAAATTTGGTCTGAAGCATGTTTAGAAGAAGGAGAATATGTTTTGTATAAATGGTGGGTCTTGGCCACCCTGGGGCCTGAGTGGTAGGGCACCATCAGGAAAATTTGTCAGTTTCTTTAAAATCTATCTTGTTCTTTAGGAATAGCAGGATATTTTCTAAATTTGATCTGAAATATGCTTGTGTAAAGAAAAATTAGTTTTATACAAAGTGTGGGTTTCAGAGATTAACATCTGATCTCTGTCCCCACCCCTAGGGGATTTGAAGCTGTATCTGTGGAGTGAGGCTTATCAAAGGAAATATTTTCCTTCTAAAGAAATGTAAAGTTTTGCATTATCAACTTAATTATTCATGTGAGCGATACAGACCCTCTGGGCCTCTTGTTTTTCTCTTTTTTATGACCCGAGGGGTCAGGATGACCTTTAGCCACCATGTTTTGTTTAGCGTCAGTGGAATTCAAGTGAAACTTGCCTTCAGCAAAGCTGAGATGGTTCTGACCAAGTGTTGTTATTTTTCGGGCCATTCCAAAATCGAGTATGGCCAACATGGCTACCTCCTTCATAAATACATTTTAAAGTTCATCTCGACTTCTACTGGTGTTATTCACCTGAAAATTGGTGGGGATGTTAAGGAAAGGAAGCTGACAAAGTTTTGTCTTTTTTTGGCCTCTTCAAACGTTCAATATGGCAGCCATGGTGGCCATTTTGTGACATGATAGTGCAGTCATGGTTTCTTTGAACAATACAAGTGCAGTCATGGTTTCTTTGAACAATACATATGTTAAACTTCAAGTACTATTGGTTTGATTGAGCTGAAACTTGCCAGTATTCATGCTTACTGATAACGATCATTTTCTACCTAACTTAATTATTTTCTGTCATTGGTATATCTATTCATGTCTCTCCTAGTCTATTGTTATCATTATGTCACAAGGTGGTGTGTTATGCCACTGTGTCCAGGTTAACTATAACATTTCAGTGACCTTTAAATGATCCCATTTTCTGTAAACATAACAATCTTCCATTTTAATGGTGTTGTTTGAAGCTTAGAATTTGTTGTTGCTGCTGCTTTGTGCTGTAATGCCAGAAGAATTCAAATGTGTGATTGCATTCTTATGTAACTGTTATTTGGATGTGTATTTAGACTGGTATGCATTGTAGTAAAAAAACATGTATAACAACATCCATAACCATACCTCGTACAATGAGATGACTATCAGAAATTCACAGCAGGGACAAAACTGGTTTTGTGTTTTTTGTTTTTTTCAGTCTTAGTAATCATAAGATGTGAAATTTAACACAATTCATTGAGTGTATGATAAAGAATCACAAGGTTGTTTGTTTCCAATTGGCATTCGTTATATATCAAATTTACATGGGAGAACCAACACTCTTAAAGTTAACAATGTTAAAGTTAAAAATTTACGCGATATAAAAAACAACAATTAGAATGCCTCTGAGACCTCCCCTCTGTGCTGACAATATCTTCCGGCCATTGTATCTAAGGAAGTGGCAGACATTTTAGTCCAGGCCTTGCTTGGAAACGTATACTGGCATCCAAGGGTATAAAGGGTCTGTGGCCTGTCAAACCATTTATCATTATTTCAATGTAGGCGCAACGTGACTAATAGGTACATTGCATGAGAGCATTTACTTGCTTCAATTTTTTTTTCTTCTGAGTGACTGAATAACCTGGAAATGAAGATTTTACATGTATTTATGACAAACAGATATAATTTAGCCATATAACGGAAATACACATTTGTTTATGTTACGATTTACACAGCTTGAACAGTGCATTCTGGAAAATATACATAAGATGTCATCAAATGAATAAGTTCGGCAAAACCTGCCGTGTTTTTATCTTGAGTTTTAGCATAAATTCCTCTGTAATAAGCTTTACTATTTCCAGTTATTTCCATGAGAGACAGACTTTACTAGTAAAATTTTAGACAATCTATGACGGGTCGTATCTTTGCGCAGGTTTTACTTCTCAAGCATTTACATAACCAAGATTGAGAAAACAAAATAATAGTGGTCATATGTTACACAGCATTTTTCGAGCACTTCAGTGATATAGTAAAAATTGGTCATGTCCAAATTTTGGTGCCCATGCGCATGTTTCCGGATATATGCGATGGATTGAAGGGAATTTCCTCTGTTCCTTCAGTTTTATTATATCTTTTTAATAAATTTTTGGATAGCTGAGAAGAACTGATCATCTTCATGCAAGTTCAAAGTTCTCGAGTGAGTGCAATGTTTTTGGTTACGCTTACGTGTAATCATGTAATATACAGGTGAGTTTCACTTTGGGCTGTCAGTGTTGAAATGAAAACTGGTTTGACAGGTTGCAAAGCTTTTATACCCTGGGATGCCCGTACTCATTTCCAAGCAAGGCTTGGACTAAAATGTTGACCACTTACGCTGACCGGAAGATATCGTTATCATAGGGAGCCTCTCCGAAGCATTTGGGAAACGGAAACTTTTTTTTATATCTCAAAATAAATTCTTTTTAAGTTGCATTTAAAGTGTGAGATTGTGGCTGTGTTCCTGGATGGATACCATTTAGTAATCACTAGAGGTCCTTCCTATGTGGTAAACATGTAAATATGATAAAGAATTCTAAACATCCACGAGTGATTTTGTTAATTGTAATGATACTGGTATCGTCCACTTGTTTCAATGTCACATTGTTTATCTAACAACTGTGACCTTCTTGAGCTGCAAAATTGTACTTCAGAACATACGAAAGTCAAAAAAGTTGTCCTGATGATGGCCGAATAGAGATCGAAAAATGTCACAAAACTGCTCTCAGATGTTGAGAATGCTGTATTATATTTACATATAATTTACATGGACCTTTAAGATAAGAACTTAAAACAAATAACTTTTCCCAGAAGGACTGACGAAAGGAATAATTTAGAAATTGTTTTTACTGTCATCATGTCACAGATGGTGACAACATGTATGGTGTAATATATGACGTGTTAAGCCCAATAATAAAAAGTAGATATTTGTTAGGGAGTGCACATATTGGTTAGGGAGTGCATATATTGATTTCCTTTAAGCACTTTCACAGATATTTAAGAAGTATCTTAACAGAATTATGATATGGATTGAGATATTTCAAGATTTGTTTTCTTTTTGTATTGCACACAATATGAGGTCCAGTCTCTTCCTCCTCTTTATACAGATTTCAAAAATTTCTGCAGGGGTACTATTTCATAATGCTGTAAAAACTTTGAGAAACTCATTACACAAACTGGTCAAAGTTTTGTTTCGCTATCTCCTGTATCTTATTCTCCTACATTAGTTCTAGGCATGTGGTTTCACCTTGGTAAGGGGATGTGTCTTGTAGTATTAGGGGATGTGTCTTGTTGTATCAGGTGATGTGTCTTGTATCAGGGGATGTGTCTTGTTGTATCAGGGGATGTGTCTTATAGTATCAGTAGATGTCTTGTAGTATCAAGGGATGTGTCTTGTAGTATCAGGGATGTGTCTTGTAGTATCAAGGGATGTCTTGTAGTATTGATGTGTCTTATTGTATCAGGGGATGTGTCTTATAGTATCCGTGGATGTGTCTTGTAGTATCAGGGATGTGTCTTGTAGTATCAGGGTTGTGTCTTGTAGTATCAAGGATTGTCTTGTAGTATCAAGGGATGTCTTATAGTATCAGGGGAGGTGTCTTATTGTATCAATTGATGTGTCTTATAGTATCCGTGGATGTGTCTTGTAGTATCAGGGATGCGTCTTGTAGTATCAGGGATGTGTCTTGTAGTATCAAGGATTGTCTTGTAGTATCAGGGGATGTGTCTTGTAGTATCAGTGGATGTGTCTTGTAGTATCAGGGATGTGTCTTGTAGTATCAGTAGATGTGTCTTATAGTATCAGGGATGTGTCTTGTAGTATCAGGGTTGTGTCTTGTAGTATCAGGGATGTGTCTTGCAGTATCAGGGATGTGTCTTGTAGTATCAGTGGATGTGTCTTGTAATATCAGGGATGTGTCTTGTAGTAACAGGGATGTGTCTTGTCTCAGGAGATGTGTCTTGTTGTATCAAGGGATGTGTCTTGTAGTATCAGTGGATGTGTCTTATAGTATCAAAAGTTGGTCAATCTGACCTATTTTTGACCTTTGACTTGCTTCAAAGAAAAAGTTTGTCTTCTCTTACACTACTTTTCAGTGGACCTCGTACTTGGGATATGGTATCACCTTGGTGTTGATAAATAGGGGACTGTAATTTGAAGATGTCTTGTTTCAGATATATTTTTAGATGCATTCCTTCAAACTTCTTTTAACTTTTTTGATAAATCTGTAATGGGTGAAATGCATGTTGGAAGTGAACTCAAACACACAGATTTACTGGTGCATTTGAATTGTGTTGTATTGAAAGAATTGTACACAGTGTGATGTTTGTGACACAAAATCTGACAGTTAAGAGTGAGTTATCAAGTACAAAATCAAGTCTGAATATGGAACTGCCACTAAAGATTTTATGTTGTTCTTATCAGGAGTGTTCACAATTACAGTATTTATCCAACAATAAGTGAAAATTGAAATGTAATGCTGTTTCATGAATGTTCTGTAATAAGCCCACCCCTTGATTTTGGGTCAAGGGTAATGTGCTGGCTCCCTGGGCTTATTGCCGGATAAACATTGGGTTATTTGAATGACGTTGATCTGGGATAGCATTTACTGGAAATGCTTTCTATTATTAGGTTGAACCACTAACCCTTTACTGATATCTAGACTGAATGCTTACCTTGATTGGGTTGAGCCAGTTTATTGGGTCATCAGACCCGACGTGTCA